CAGGCTGGACAGAGTGCACCTTCTCTGCACTGAGCAGGATCTTTGTGCTGAAGCCCTGGTGGTTATTGTCCATCTGTGTGTCCCTCTCTTCCATGAGGTGATAAGCTCTCTGTAGTCTTCATACCTGATACCTTAGAGCCTGAAGGTTCTGCACAGAGCCAATGGTCCATCAGTGTACTGTTAAGTCATTCAAAGAAGCCTTTCCTGGAGCTGTGGATGTAGCTCAGAGGGTAAAGCACTTGTCACACAAGCATGAGGACCAGAGTTTAGATCTTCGGTATGCACATAATTCTGGGTGGGCAGTGCTCAGGGAGGTGAAAGCAGAGGATCCTGGGGCAAGCTGGCTAGTTAGGCCAGCAGAATCCTTGAGCTCTGAGTTCAAGCACGAGATCATGCCTAGCTTCATGGACTCCACCTGCAGGATGGAGCTGTGGGGAAGACTTGCTTGACACAGGTGGATCCTGTTGTGTTCGTTCTCTCCTGCCCAGACTGCAGCAGAGAATGTGGTACCCACTCCTCACAAATCTCCCTCACACACCACATCCCGGTTCCCTAAACAGGGATTTCCCACCCGGGGCAGCCCCAGCTTATAATATTCTCCTTCCTGCTGCCTCTAAAGTGACAGTAAAAATGTGAGGCCACCCACAGAGATAGGAAACTCCTGGAACCCAGAGTTCCCACCTCCTTTCCAGGGACACAGGCTTGATTTTTATAATATTCTCCTTCCTGCTGCCTCTAATGTGACAGTAAAAATGTGAGGCCACCCACAGAGATAGGAGACTCCTGGAACCCAGAGTTCCCACCTCCTTTCCAGGGACACAGGCTTGATTGATTGACCCATTGACAGAGGTATTCAGGGAGCCCCTGTGAGGATTACATACTAGGGCACCAGGAGGAGGCTGCTGATGGGAAACAAAGCCCCTGGGCACTATGGATCCATTTGTTTTTGCCTGCGGTCAAACAGCCAGTCAACTATGGAGGCAGCAGGCCCCTCCCCCAAAGCATCTACAATTCCAGGCCATCCCTCCCCTTTCCTCTGCCAGACAGAGCTCTTCTGAGGCAGCTCCAGCCTGAATGAGCCCCCCAGCAAGGAGGCAGCAGTCTGTGTGGCCCATCAGGAGACAGACTTCTGACTCCCAGCCAGGCAGCGGGACAGACCGCCTGACCCTCACCTCAGCCTGAGCCCGCCTGCCAGCCAGCCCCAGGGGTAAACATTCAAGAGATGGGCAAAACAAGTGTTTCTCCAGGGAAGGTGAGACATCCTTGAGGCCAGAGCTGCTTGGGTGGCATGAAATGCAAAGTGTTGTGGATTCCAGGTTGGAATCAAGTCCAAGTTTGCCAGCTGTGCAGGTTGGATACCTACACAATGGCCCGTAGCATGAAAGGTGTAATTTGTACATTTATTACAATGTTGTGCCAGTAGGTGGCAATAAAGGTTCTCAAGGAAGGGATCCGCACGGACACAGAAAGCATTCATTTACCTGGTCCACAAGCATGTGGGAAGTACTGTCCCGTGCTTTGTCACACTGTGCCGGGTCCTGCAGTTCCACTGGGACACGCAGTGGAACATTGAAACAGCTCTGGTTTCCAGGAGCACAGACTAGATGTTTGTGAGCAAGGGACAGACCGTAAAGTAATATTACAAGGCAGAGTGACAGTATGATGACCCTGAGTGTACTGTGCCCAGGAGCTGAGGAAGGAAGCTCAGGCCAGCCAGATGGGGGCGCTGCTGAGGCGAACAGCAGAGTAGGTGTCACCCATGACGACCCTGGAAGGTGAGAAAGAGGCAGACAGCACAGAGGCGTGAGCATCCTAAGCAGAAAGCACAGAAATCAGAAGCAGAGAGGTGTGAAAAGTCAGAGGACTTGGGTGAGTGTGTCTATGAAGGGCGCCATAAACCAGTGGGTGGATCAAGTGGGCCACCTGGTCGCAGGGTCCCCATTAGGAAGGACCTTGGGGCTCTGGGCTGAATCCTGAAAACTGGAAAGTATGAGAGCCCAGGAAAGGTTGTGACACATTGAACACAACTTCTCCATCTAGAGAATGTGGGAAATGGTCCCCATGACCTCTCAGGGTCTATGGGAAGGTCAAATATGGAGAGTAGATTAGGATAGAAGACCAAGAGTTGGCTGTCTCCCTGCTGCCATAGGCTGGATAAGAACTCCAAGAATTCTGTATCTAAATTCTGAGTCTTCTAGGTCCTTATAAGGAAGGAAGTCAGACATTTTATTTAGTTGTTTGCTAACTTTATTTATTGTGATGGTTAGTTTCAAATGTCAGCTTGCCTCAATGGAGAATCACCTAAGAACCTCAATTGAGGAATTTGCTGTATCAGGTTAGCCTGTGGGCATGTCTGTGGGGGGTTGTCTTGATTGTTAATCCATGTGGGAAGACGCAGCCCCTTGTGGGTAGCGCTATTCCCTAGGCAGAAGATCCTGAACTGTATAAGGGTGGATAAATTGAGCCGAGCGAAGAGAGCAAGCAAGGAAAGATGCATTTATCCTCTCTCTGCCCTTGACTGTGGATGTGATGTAGCTAACTGCTTGAGTTCCTACCTTGACTTCCCTGGAATGATGGACAATCACTAGCCTTTCTTTCCTAAGTTGTTTTTGGTCAGAATATTGTATCACAGCAACAGGATGAAAATAGAATATTTATCAATTTTAAATATTAGACATGGGGCCTGGAGCAATGGCTCAGCAGTTAAGAGCACTAACTGCCCTTGCAGAAGACCCAAGTTCAGTTCCCAGCATCCACATGGCAGCTAACAATTGTCTGTAACTCGAGTTCCAGGGGATCCGATGCCCTCTTCTGACCTCCTCAGGCATTGTACAACATGGGTACACTTACACACATACAGACAATGCATTCATACACATAAAAAATAAAAATAACAAATAAGATATTTAAATATTAGACTCATAGGCCATTCATTTTCCTCAAGGCCCCACAAGTACTAGAGGCATGCTGGTTCTGGTATCTGGAATGAGCTGGTTATCTTTGTTGAGGATTTGTGATAAAATTCCTCATTGTGGGCTGGAGAGATGGTTCAGTGGTTAAGAGCACCGGCTGCTCTTGCAGAGGACCTGGGTTCAAGTCTCAGCACCTGGATGGCAATTAACAACTGTCTGTAACTCCAGTTCCCGGAGATCTGACACTGTCTTCTGACCTCCATGGGCATTGCACGACATGGGTGCACTTACACACATGCAAGCAATACACTCATACACATAAAATAAAAATAATATATAGAATGTTTAAAAAAAAAAAACTCCCCATTGTGTGAGACTGGCCGCACACACATTTTATTGAAGAGCATCACTCAAAGAAATGTATCACTTTCAAGTCACACTAACTATTCCTCACAAAAGTCCAGCCTCGATGACATCTCTGCCTGTCAGTATTGTAAGAAAAGGTGGCACTAGCCACAGAACTGTCAATCAAGGATGCTGGAAGTCTTGGGAAGAGAAGAGGTTCACTGGCATTGGCTGCACATCCGTGGTGGCTGTGGAGAGAGACAGAATGAAGCAGTCTGAGAGTTTGTAGAAAGGATTCCTTCACAAATGGAAGATTGAGAAAATAGTTGGCAACATCCCTATCCAGGGAAAAGAACAGAAGAAGAAACTAAGGAGAAAGTTCTTGAATGCCATGCTTACAAATTACTGAGAAGAATGCAGTCACGTGGCCACACCTAACTCGTGGGAGAGTTGGAGCAACAGTTTTATGTGCTAATCTACGAGTATGAGCCTGGGGAAAAAGAAAGGAACTGTCTCCATCCCTGAGAAAGCTTATGGAAATGCTTAGCGTCATGCCTGGCTCACAGCAAGTAACTGAAATATTTGTTTCAATACACAGGCACAGCAGTGAAAGGAGAAAATGCAAACCTGGTTCTTCTGCTTTGTATGTGGGAGGACATCTAACCTCCTAAGCACCTCAACTTTCACTGCTCGTTTTCAGGGTTGAGTGAAGGCACAGATACAGAGTTAGAGGGCCTGACACAAATCTCTTAGGCAGTGTTTAGTCTCTGGATTTTGAGTTTCCACATTGACAGGATAGAAATAAAAATGACTTCTTCTTGCTGGCAGTTGTCAACATTAAATGAAAAAGACCTTAGATTAAACCCTAAAACTTACTGATCTCTTCACTCTACTCATTCAACAGATAATTCAATTGAACTCCTGTTGTGTGTTAAGCACTCTAGTGGGTATTGAGGATAGAAAGATGGGTCAGACTTTGAGGAGTTCAGTTGTTTAGTGGGATGTGGGCATCAAGCACAGTTACTGAGTCTAATTAATTGCAATTGTCATCGATAGGAAAGACAGTCGCTATCAGGAGGGAGAAGAACCACAGTTGGGATTAGGATGCATATGGAGGACAATGGACGACAAGTGGAGGGATATGAGAAGTAATGAGATTGGAGAGTCAGTGGGGAAAGGGAGGGAGAGGTCACAGTAATATTGTTTGCTATTTTGTCTTGAGCAGTGGTAGGTAGTGATGTCAAGGATGTAGCAGACAGTCTGGGAGGTTTAGTACAAGAATGAGAAGACTAGCGCCTGGATGGTTGACAGACGGACAGCAGGACACATGATGACAGCTTTGTGGAACAAATGCATAAATGAGGGAATGGATAATCAATAAGTCCTTGATGTAGTTCACAGTGTAAAACTGAGTAAAATAATACTGAATCAATACTATGTTATTTATGTATTCTTTGTCTCCTTGAGTCTGTAAAATACCCCCAGAAATGGGGAGTGCAGCTTCCTTTTAGAGGCTAAAACTGGGGCGTGGGAAGGTCAACAACTTGGCCAAACCACAACTTGAGTCTCCTATCTTCGCATCCTTTCTCCCTCCCACCCCCCACCACACTGCCTCTAAACACTGAGACGGTGGGCAGTCAAGGGAAAGAAGGGGCAGGTGGATACGTCTTGGTTTGTACTTTTGGGAGAGGGAAGAAAGGATAAAAGATTCCCCACTTAGCAGACCTCTTCCTCTCCTTGCAGGTCAAAATATTTCCATGGGAAGAAGGTGAATGGCGAGATTGAGATCCGAGTGGAGCAGGTAGGCGGGAACCCATTCCCTAGTACTGTCCTCACTTGCTGTCGTCTGACCTGGAACCATTTCCAAAAGCATGAACTTGGATTGCCAGAAAGATCTTGGATTATACTCGGGAATTGCATTAAATTCCAGAATTTTCTAGTCCACTCGTTTTTTAGCCTTTTGGTTTTAGCTGTAGGCCTTTTCTTCAAGAAGTATCAAAGGGTGCTAAGCTACAGACCAGAGAGAAGTGGAGCTGCTTGGATGGGAGTCTGTGTGCTCCATCGGCACCCCATGGCATCTTTGACTATGAGTCTGACATTGACCATGGAGCATGATGGGAAGTGTAATGTGTATGAATCCTGATTCTCTTGCTTTTTAGTTATTGAGCAGATGACTTGATCTCTCTGTGCTCTTCTTTTCTTGTTTCACTGTGGTTAGCATGAGATTATTTAAAACTTCAAGAGACTAGAGTCGAGAACCCCAGCCTCATTATTGCCACTGTTTCCAATATCCAGGTCCTTCATTTATATGGAAAGAAATATGGATTTGGTCAAACTTCATAGGAAGTCAGGGCTGGAAGTTCTCCTGACCTCAAACCAGGAGTTCCCCCATTCACCAAGTGAGAACCTCCTTCCTGGGGGCACCATAACCAACCTTAAGAGAGCACATCAAGGGCTCTGGAGTCAGACTCCAGGCTTGAGTCCCAACACCATCCTCTCATGTCTGGCTTGGCTGAGTAATACTTCAGCTCCCCTCTTCATCTGTGTTCTTGTGATAATAGCGGCATCAGCCTATATTCTTAGGCTGCTGGAGGATTGGATGCCTCAGTGCATGAAAGTCCTAGCACCATGCTGGCGCACAGCAGGAACGTCAAAAGTGTTTCTCCTCTTCCTTTTCCATTCCCTTCACTCTCTCCCTTCCTCCTGCCCCTCCTCTTCTTCTCCCTCCTTCTTTCTTCTCTCATCATTTTTCAGAAAACAGCAAGTCTGAATACAGTTAATTGGAAGAAGTACAATTTAAAACTCAGGAACAGGAGTGGCCTGTCCCCCTGCACTCTTTTGAGCTTTGTGAGTCAGAGGAACAGTGCAGACTTCGGAGCATCGAATTGATGGCGTTGGCTTCATATTAAAATACCTACCATTTGAATTTCAGTATGATCCTGTGGCTTTCAAGTCAATCCAACGTCTACTGGTTTTCCTTCCATGGCAAAAAGCAGGTTATTTTTATTCATTTTACAAATATTTGTCAAGCGTCTACTATGCGAGCTAGCTCATGTGGGGAAGGAGGGTAAGAAGCAGTGGTCCAGTCCCCAAACAGGAATAGCTTTGAGGAGGGAGTGTTATTTGAGTTGGATTAAAGAGTGACTAGACTTTCAACATGCAGAGGTTGGTGGCATGGGGACCATGTGGGATGGAGGCACCGAGGGCAAAGGAAGTTAATCAGTACAGGGTGGGATGCTAGTCCTATCGCATGACTCCAGCACAAGGCTCATTGTCTTTCCCTTCCCCTCCCTAGTGCCCCTTTCAGTGAAGAGTGCCACCTTTTAAGACTCCTCCCTTAGCTGGAAACCTGGCAGACTCCCTCTGCCACTGTAACTACCCACTGTCAGGTCCTTTTGACTCCCTATCCCATGGTTCTCTAGTCTCCCCAGTTGCTAAGGAACTACCTTGGTTGGATCACTACCAACTTTCATCCAAACTCTTAGCAGCCTCACAACTCCATTTTTAAAAATCACCCTTAATTTATTCTTCATGTCAAAACTAGAGTCGTCTTTTTTTGTTTTGATTTAGTGTGTGTGTGTGTGTGTGTGTGTGTGTGTGTGATGTGTGTGTGCATGTGTGCATGTTCATGGGGGCTGTGGTCACATACATGCTATGGCATGTGCGGAGTGGGTAGAGGACAACCTTAACTTCTACCTTGTTTGAGACACAGTCTCTCTTTTCGTGCCGTGTGTGCCAGGCTAGCTGGTTTGGAGCCTCTGGAGATGCTCCTGTCTCCATTTCTCATCTTGCCACAGTAGCAGGGGTCAGGGGGAGATACAGATGGTCAGGGACCACGCCCAGCTTTACATGGGCTCTGGGGATCCAAACTTAGATCCTCGTACTTGCATAGAGCACTTTTTTAAAAGTGATCTTTCTAATAGAGCAGATTGGATCCCTTGAAGTATAAGCTTTACAGCCTCTTCCTCAAAGGTACACCTGAGCCCTGTCTAAACCAGGTAACTTGGTGATTCTTTTCCACAGCACCTCACCCCTTCCTTCCTAGCCATCACCTACATATTTAGGGTGGGATGTGCCTGAAGACAGGGGCCATAACTATTTGGATTTCACTCTGTTAAGTAACACAGGGCCTGGCACAAACTAGAACTGAAAGAAATATTTGCAGAATGAATAATTGGTAGATTCCACAGATTCCAGGCTGCCTGTTGGTTTCAAGGGTGATAAATCATTGCTCCTTCATCTTTTCTCAAAAATCTGGGTTTTCCATAAACCATCTGGTAAATGCTCAGTTGCCAACTGAGCTGGTCCTGCCTCATCTTCTTTGTAGTAACCCTGAGGCGTGCTTTCATTTCCCCCTTTTATCTTAATGTTGCCTTTGGCCCAAGTGGAAAATACCAAATCTATATGCAGGGGCATCCAGGGGTGCCACTGAAAGTCACTTGAGGACTCTGGGGACACTTCAGCAGTCTATGAGGGCTTTAGTCATGCTAGAAAATGTTGGCTAATATAGCCATCCTGATTTCTAGCCATGCTTTTCCATGGAAACCAGAAGGTAAATTAGTCAGGAAACCAATTAGCATGTCATTTGGGCATTGGTTCCTGGAAGATAGAGCTTCTCAAATCCTACTTCAAGTCTGAATGACTTATCTTTGGCCCATCTGAATCGATGGGTGGGTCGTATAAGCAACCCCCACCATGATCTTCACACGCATCTTCCCAACACTTGAGAAAAGACTTAGGACAGAAGCCACTGTTTAGTCTAAACTGGCCTTGACTTTTGGGAACCTGTCTCTCAGTGAAGGGCCAGATTAACCAGATAATTGCGCTGTCTGGGTTTTGCTGGACAGAGTAAAAGAGTTAGTTGTGGTTGACCCAGAGGAAGTCTCCACCCCTCCTCTCCACCCTCTTCCCCACAATTTCAAAACCACTTGCATGGCTCTGGCAGAAAGGAGAATCCAGAAGCCCTGGGGAGGCCAGTAGGTAGCTGCATCACTTTGCATCCCATTACCCATCATGCCCTGCTAGCTCTGCAGGGTCATGCTGCAGAGTCCTAGTGGAGCTGGAGACTACCAGGCCAGGGTAGTTGGCTCATCTAGCTCTCTTCTGTTTGTATTTGAGGCCAAGGGTCTTCTCTCCACAGTCACGAGTCACCGCTCTGAGGGACTAAGAGATGAGGTTGATGAATGGATTAATATTAAGTAAGACGCACAGTCTGAGAGATGGATTGACTAGAACCTGGAAGGATGGAGCCTGGGGGCTTTAGTGAAAGACAGAGAAAAAGAGATAGGTGGAGAAAGAGAAGAGGAGAGTGAGCTCTCAAGTGGAGAGAGCAAAGAAGAGAGTGAGCTCTGGAGTGGAGAGAAGGAAGAAGAGAACGAGCTCTGGAATGGCCATGTCTAGGCTTTTCTCAGTGTTAATGGTGCCAAGGCAGAAGGAACCACAATGCCTTGCTCCAGCAGATGTTAGAGAGACAGACAGGAAATGAAGGAAGCTGGACAAGTCACAGGTTTACACATGAGCACCAAGGGCTCCCTACAAGCCCGTCCCTGTATAATAGTAGAGAAGAAATTGATGTTATGTGTGTGGGACCCATGGAGGCTGTCAGGAACCTGCTCACCTTTCACTCTCTCTATTCTTTGTCAGCATACATGTCTTCTGAAAGCAAAGGTGGAGGGTTTTTTTTCTTTTAAAATACTGTAAACCCCACAGGATCTGCACAGATTGAGTATCTCTTATCCAAATATCAGGGACTAGAAGTGTTTCAGAGTTCAAGTTTTTAAGATTTGGAAATATTTTCACATACACAATGAGATGTAGTGGGGAGGGAACCCAAGTCTAAATATGAAATTCACCTCTGTTTCATGTTTACCTTATGCACATAGACTGATGGTGATTTTGCGGTGTTGGTGATGCACCTGCATTCTGACTGTGACCTGTTGTTACTTGAGGTCAGGAGTGAGATTTTTCCATTTGTGGCAATATGGTGCCACTCAGAGAGTTTTGAATTGGGAATACTTTGGAATTCAAATTTTCAGTTTAGGGATGCTCAACCTATTTCTCTCTCTCTCTCTCTCTCTCTCTCTCTCTCTCTCTCTCTCGTGTGTGTGTGTGTGATGCATATGTATGTAGGTGCACTAATCTACATGTGTGTGAAAGCCAAAAGTCAACACTGGGTGACTTCTGTCACTTTCCAGCTTATATTTAATTTTTATCTTTTGATTATTTTTATTTTATGTATTTCAATGCTTTTCCTACATCTATAAAAGTGTACCCATGCATGAAATGCCTGTGGAGGCCAGAAGAGAGTGTCTGATCCCCTTGGAACTGCAGTTATGGATGGTTATTTGCCACCATGTGTGTGCTGGGAACCGAACCTGGGTCCTCTGCAGCCAGTGCTCTTAACCATTGAGCCATCTCTACAGCAAGGTCTCTCACTGAACCTGTAGCTCACTGATTGGCTAGACTGGCTAGCCAGTGATTCCCATGTCCCTAATCCTCCCATCCCCCCATCTGCCTGTATCAGCCCACTAGTGCTGGAGTTACAGATGTATGCTACTATATCCCATGTTAATGTGGGTGCTGAGGATGGAACTGAGATCCACATACTTGCCCAGAAAGCCCTGAACCATCTCTCCAACCCTTCAATATACTTTTATTTTTAATTTTTATGCATATTTTAGACTTTACTCCATAACTGTGTATAGGTTAATCTCTTTTAGAATAGGCCTTAACTATGGGGGGGGGGCTATTGACAGTTGATGGTTACTAATGGAGGGAGAGTCAGATTTCTTTAGGGATTTA